GTACCTCCAAAGAAATAATTTCAACCAATTTTTAGAATCTTCAAACTTTTTGAAAAGTTTTGTGATAGGCTTAACAAAATGTAACAAAAATTTGAAATGTTCTTGTTTGGCTTACATTGTGGTTTTAGTTTTTTCAACAAACAAACCAACAAGGATTTCAAGGATTTTGTCAAATAAAACTGTTAGACAAAATCCTCAACCAACAAGCCAGTTTCTACATAATTTAAGAAGGCAGAAGTGAAGCAGAAGTAAAACATAATTAAAGCAGACAGAAAATTGATTGAATGATTATTGCTTAACTTTGATATCATGTTTTATAGCAAAACTAAGATCAACAAAATCTAAAAACGTGATTAACTTTATATTTAGTTAACTTTGAGTAACTTATTTACAGAGTCTACTAAAACATCTTTCTTGAAAAACTGCATGATATTTTTGGAGGACATTGTCTAGTAACTCAGTCCAAAAATCATTAGTTTTATATTGTGATTGGTTTGTATGTTTGGAAAGTGATTAAGAATACATTTAATGATTTTTTAATGTCTTTAGTTTAATGTCTGATCTCATGACATCAAATTAATCAAATTTTTTTTTTAAGCTGCTTTCTGTTATGGTAAAAAATACTGTTGAAAGAAACTTTAGATACTAATGAATGGACATCTTTCAACATATTTCTACACTTTAGTATATTATCTTATCTTCTCTATTTCTCTTTTTACAATCATGAAGGACTTCAAACAAAGTTTACAAAATGCAAATGTTTCATCCTTTCTATCACTTTTGTAATTTTTGAGTTCCTATTTAATGTCAATAAATATCATAGGGTTTATTAGAACCTAATCAAATTATTTATATATTTTTTTGTTATTGTATTAACTGAAAACTGAAAGAGACAATTTTTTTATAACTTTATTGATCATAATCATGGTCTTTTTCTATAAGTTATTCGTTAATGAACTTCATAAATGTTTCCACTTTGCAAAACTAGTCACATAAAAAATCAGTTAAACAGAGAAAGAAAGAATTATGCTGTGAAGAAAGAATTATGCTGTCTTAAAATTTACTGTTAAAATGTTTAATTACTTTTACTTTTTAAAACAAAATTTCTTACTGTAGATTTATCAGAAAAATATCTTTAAAAGTCTGCAAACTGTTTATATTTTTTAAAAATTAATTCCAGAAATTAGTTAGAATGCATTGCTTTAAATTATAATTTTAAGTTTAATTGTTATTTTAATATCTGTTAATAACTTAATAATTTATTACTAATATTATAACTATTTATTATTTATACTAGAACTATTTTATACTAGAAGAGAACTTATAAAAATATATATTTATTTTAAAACTACAGGAAGTTAGAGTATTGGGAGGTTAAAATGAATAAACAGGTACATGTGTCAAAATCTGGATACATCACTATAATAATGAGAGCATATAATAAAAATTAAATGAAATTTCTTATTTTAATTATTTATGCAGAAAAATAATACAAAATTTAAGTTTCAAGAATAAAAATTTAAAAAATTAAAAGTAACTATTACCTTTTCTTGACCTGGAATCAAACGTATATCATACACGCCAATACATTCAGATGTTTTCAACTTATTAGTAACATCTTTTACAGACAACTTTTTATATACAACAGACGACTTCATTCCAATATCAGTAATCATTTTCCATACAGGTTTACGATAAAAAAAAATACAAAATTTTTGACTGCTAGTTTCAGTCACATAAAAAAAAGCTCGAACAATAGGAATTAGAAAGTCATTGTATAACCAAAGAAACATGCTTCTTATAACATTAAAACGTTTACTACACTGCTGCTTATGATTGGTTGAAGATGTCCAATTAAATAATGATATTTTGATGTTTTTCATCACATAATCTACAGTGCACCGCTCATACCTTCCCATGCGAAGAAATTTAAGCAAAGATTTAAAAAAATATTTTTTGTTATGTAGAGCGCCCCAGAAGTTGTTAGGTATTAACATTTCAACTATCTTACGCAACAACAAGAATACCTAAAGTAATAATAGTGTTGTTAAATTAAAAACATTACATTAATTTACTGAATAAATTTCTAATACCTTTTGCTCTGGTACAAATGACTGCACTGCTAACTTGTATCTAAATTTTCCTTTAAGTACTTCATTTTTCTCTATATCCTTAAACCATTTAGGTAAAGGACAATAGCAAGCTAGAAGCTTTTTCATATTTATTAGTTTAAAATTTAAAATAATCTTCTTAAAAAATGTCCGAAAAAAGATTAAACGTGTGGGCAACCTTTTTATTCTCCCGCTATCTTTAAAGTGAAATACTGCTTGCATGAGTGTGTATACTCCAGAGTTGGATGGTTGAACTCTGTTCATAATAAAGTTTTTATGTATGCGGTTTATTAAGACTTTTGAATAAAACATTTTGTTTCGTTGAAGCCAACCACATGCTTTTTTTGATACTTTTTTATTAAAAATCAGTGGTTCACAAAATTCTGTTTTTTCCAACTTTTTTCTTTTAAAATCAGAACTTGCAAATGTCATTTTTCGTTTTCTGATATTTTTATCAGCAACATTTGCTTGAATTAATTGATGTCTTATTACAGGATTAGGGACACTTTTTGTATGTACACATTTACATTTTCGGAGATCAAGTTCGTATAAAGGAATTCCACATAACTGGATATAACAACTATGCTGTACTGTTAAAAACAAATAACACTTTTTAAGTAAAAAAAGTATTATCTCATCCCCTACAGCATTATGCAACTGTTCCCATAACTTACTTTTAAAATAAACTACTAAAGAATTAAATGAAGTCTGTACTAACTGAGAATCTATTATTACATTTTCTTTGGCTCTTTCACTTATCCATTTATAACCAATTGATAAAAGGTTGTTACTTTGAACACGAACTAAAGATTTGATAGCCTGGTGAATAACCTCTTCTAATGGTTGCAATGCTGCTTTGGAATAACTGTGAGGGAATAAGACAGCATCATGAGGAAAACCAATTTTAATTAGTTCTAAACCCTTTAAGTCACTTAAAAAAATGTTATTCATTATAAAATAGTCCTTTAATAAAAACACTTTGCAGAAATAACAATTTAAGATTTTCATTTTCATTAATTAAAAGTTGATTGAGTACTATATCTTTGTTTGCATTTTTTTGGCTGCATCATTTAAACATGCTTTGAACATTTGAAACTCTTTGATGCATGCATTTGGTGCTATATCTTCATACTTTCGTGCAACACACTTGCCATACACAGTTGCTTCGCTTGAACATAAAAGTATAAGCTTAGGAAAAGATTGTATTCGCTGACGAGCACTTTGAAGTGAAGCTTTTTTCATTATTCACTAAAGTTAACATTGAAACTTGTTCAGTTTTAAAATGTTTATACACAAACACACACACACAAATATATATATATATATATATATATATATATATATATATATATATATATATATATATATATATATATATATATATATATATATATATATATATATATATATATATATATATATATATATATATATATATATATATATATATATATATTATATAAATTGGTTAAGAGCACAAAGGGAATACATCCACTAACCATTGTTTTGAGAAATCTGAATTTGAAAGTTTGAAAACATACAACAATTCATGATATTTATTTATTGTCATGATTTTTAACCAAATGCATTCCTTAATTAATTCTGTCTTGTTTTTTACTATTTTATTTTCATTTCTTTTACATACTTTATACAATAACTCGCAATAACTCAAAACCGTAAAATGTTGGACATATTCCCTTTGTGCTCTTAACCATCGATATATATATATAACATATATATATATATACATAACATATATATATATAACATATATATACATACATATATATATATATATCTATATATATATAACATATATATAACATATATATAACATATATATATATATATATATATATATATATATATATATATATATATATATATATATATATATATAACATATATATATATATATATATATATGTATATATATATATATATATATATATATATATATATAACATATATATATATATATATATATATATATATATATATATAACATATATATATAACATATATATATAACATATATATATACATATATATAACATATATATAACATATATATACATATATATATATATATTTATATATATATATATATATATATATTTATATATATATATATAACATATATATATATATATATATATATATATATATATATATATATATATATATATATATATATATATATACATATATTTATATATATATGTAAACCAAGCTTAAAAAAAGATGAAATAAACACTCTTTACTGATATATTACACTCCTGTTCGTAAAAAATATATTAACCTTCATTTTTTTAAAATGCAAAATATTCTTAATATAAATATTTTGTATTTTAAATAAAAAAAAGTTTTTTAAAAAAGGAAAGAACATCTTTTTAAAAAAAATTGAAAACTACTAAATATAACTTGTTTTGAATTTAGATTAAAGAAATCATTTACAGGTAGGTACACCTTAAAAACACCAACACCTTAAAAACTACTAAGTCATAATTTATGTTCTTGTCAAGCACTGTATGAGCTTTAACGCATAATATGATTTGTTTTGAGTTTGACTATTTTCTTATTAATAATATGCAAAAAAAAACAATTTAAAAATAAAAAATAAATTAATTTAAAACTAAAAAAACACAGTTTTTGACATGGGTAAGCGCCAATTTGAAAATAAGATTGCAATTCTTTTTTTTTTTAGGTAACTATATTGTTGCTACAAATAAAAATAAAAAAAGTTTTCACAATATCCTTCTCTGATTAATAAAATAAGCTTTTTACTAGCAGTAGAGACGCTTGTAGTTTTTAAGGGGTACAAAGAGTAATACAAACATTGAGACACAAGTCAAAACTTCTTTCCAGAATCAATAAATTACATTTCAAATCAACATAAAACATTTCCCCAATTAATGTTACCGCTTTCCATGTCATTTAAATTGCCTTTATATTTAGCAGTTGGTTGATGTGGCTAGTTTAATCATTATTGGCTTCTTTCCATCAACTCGACAAGAAATTTTGCTGCATGCTGATTTCTTTATCTCGTGGCAGACTGGGCACTCTTTAAAACTCTTTACTGCAAAAATGCCATTGCAAACACATTTTACATTTACATTTATAAAATTTACATTTATAAAATTGTTCTTTTTCTTTATATTTTTCTTTCATAATCATCTGCGACTGCTCGAACATAAATTTCCAATAATTAGCTGATCCATAACGATGATTTGTTTTTGCTAATTCAGGAAATGAATATGGAGTAATTGTTGTTAACGAAACATTGCTGATGAACGTGTGCATATTTTCTTTGGTGTACTTAGAACAAGACTGGTAGAAGGCTCTTGTTCTTAATTTTGAGCCATACAGTTTGCAGTCTGTTGAAATTTATCTTGCTGCATATTATTTACATTTAAACCTTCTTTAGATATGCCAGCTCTCTTTGCAGCATTAATTATGGTATCACTTGAAGCCCATTTATCCCACATTTCTCCTAAAATTGTCATAAAGCCTTCTCGGTTTATTGTTTGTTTGAAAGTTGTAAAAAGTTCATCTCTTTTTTTGTCATATTCACGATGCATGTTTTGATTAGGACTTTGATCCAACAGTTGAGTAACCCCAGTTGTATCAGGAGGACTTATAAACAAGTTAATTGTTTTTTCATGGTACAACATTGTAGTCAAATCTTGAACTGTGTCCATCTGCTAGCATTACAACAGGTCGTTGTATATTTCCTTCTGACAAATATATATCAAACTTTTTGTGTAGGTCCAATAAAGAATGGCTATCCTGGCTTTCTTTTTCAGTAGATGATATAATTAAATTTTTTATATTTTTGACAGCTGTTTTTGGGGCCATATGACTTGTGATACCTTTACCAGCAAAAATAACTTGCGAAACAACAATTTCGCCTGAAATGTAAAATAAAAAAATATTATTTATGACTAAACCTATACTTAAACATAACCATGGGGATAAAAACATTCACTAAAAATAAACACTAAAACGATTGACTAATACTTCTTAAGTAATGAAAACATGATTGGTTGTTTTTTTTTCAGATAAATGCAAATTACTGCATAGGTACATTTACATAAATAGTTTGTGTTATTATTACCTGCCAATTAAATAACTGGGCATATTGTTATTGATTCACGATTCTCTCTAATCATTTTTCTGCAAGGTTCCCCACGTGCAACATACGCGAGCCCAGAATTTGTTCCATCAACCCCATAGTTTATGAACTGGGGTGTTTCATCAAAATTAAAAATTCTTTTTGTATCAATATCACCCTTCCGCACACCAGGTTCAAGTTTTTTTGAGTTTGTGAAAATCTCACATTTAATAAGTTCTTCAGCCAATAAATCTAAAAGATAAATTCAAAATGTTTTTGCTAGTACACTGCACCCTAGGGCTAATCTAAGACATTTATGTATCATTGTTTTAATTATGGAGCATATCAGCAAATAAAGTACAAAAATATATTATTAATTATTTTCTTACCTAAATGTGACTCAGCCATACCCCTTGTGCAGTGCAATGCCCTGTTAATAGGTATATTTCCTTGTCGTTTTAGAACTAAGCTATGGTGCTCTGCTTCCCATCTCTGCCAAAACGACCGACCAAGCCTATAATAAATTTAAAACTTGAGTTTATAATATAGTTATGTTGGAATTATATGGAATAGTATTAAAAAACAAATAACTAGTGTAATATATTACATAAAGAAACATTATAATTTATTTAGTAACTAAACACTCTACTTATTTTCCTGTCTTAACAACATGTTTTGCATTATCAGATAGTTTACCAAAATTGCGACCACCTTGATTCGTGGTGTTGCAATAGTCTCTAATTTTTAAAACATCAATAATTAGATTAGTGACTTGCTTCCTCGATATTCCTTGATGGCACCTGTTTTTATTTTTAATGAATTCTACAATCGAGTGTTCTTTTTCTGTTAAAATTCACAGATGTTGCTTTTTTATATTAGCAGTTTTTCCATCTAATCTCCGATCAATGGTTCCTCAATCTTTGATAAAAGAAAACATACCAGTTTGCAAAGCAGCATAGCCTCTTTTTTTGTGCTCTATGCACCAAGACACAGCTTGTTGAATCTGAAGTTCTTTCATATTTATTTTTTTCCTCTGGACTTTTGCCTCTGCTTTTGAATTTGGTTTTCCAATAACAAAAGGTTCTTTTCTCACTTTTAAATAAATTTTGGTTTCCCCATTGCAAAATTACTTATGATATTTTTATCTATAAAATACATATGGTATAAAACAATTGTGTGCATAAATAAACTTAAGTAATATTCCTACTAAATAAAAATATAATATCTGAGTGCCCTCTATGTTAAACTATCTACAAATTTTAATTAACAGCAATCCCCTAATTACAGTATATTAGTATTTAGTTGTAATTTGTAAGGATTTATTTTGTAGTTTTGAGGAGTTTTAGGGTTGTTTATGTCTTTTCGTTTATAATAGATTTACAATAATGTGTGTACCAATACTATGGCCCGAAAACAAAATGTCTACAAAATTTTGAGGGAATCTGATCAACAGCTCTAAAATTATAAGCAAAAAACCTGATTGCGGTATTTAAGGGGTAACAATCAAAAAAGGCGACTTTATTTTTAATCACAAAACTTTATTAAAAACTATAGATTAAAAAATAAGGCCAGGGAAGACATTCATTCAAAGTAGTTTTTAAGTATAGAAAGTTTCAGCACTTCAGAAGTTTCCAATATTCAGTTATAGGGTGCCACTTTTTTTTTTGTAGTTTTTAAGGTATACCTTTTTACTTATACTTTACTGTATACTTTTTAACTTTTCTGATTTAAATTATTAAACTAAAATTCTCAATTAACTAAAAAATAATTAATTAAGTTTGTTAATTAAAAAATTAATTAACTAATGTTAATTAAAAAAATAAAATTAATTTTATACTTTTGCTTTACTTTAGAATGATCAAGAAGAAGCAATTAAAATATTTACAAAAGCTGAAAGTTATGTTGGCAGAGCAAATGTTTATATACATGTAAATAACTATATAACTATAGCATTTATTGAATTGTTATAATTCATCATCATTAAAAATCAGTTTTAATTGCAACATTGTTATGAACCACTTTAAGCTGTTAACAGTTTTAATTTTTAACGCATCAGTTTGATAAATCAGTTATGTTTTTTATATTTTCAATTTTTTTTTTTAGTTTCAGAACAATGAATCATGTTATTTTATGGATATGTTTCCAAATGGCATAAAGTAAATTGTTTTATTTTGAAATCAATTTTTGTTTTAAGGTTGCTATTTATAACAAACTTGTCATTTGTAATTTAATACTAAATTTTAAGAACAATATTCTTACTTGAAGATTTTGAAAGTCTGTATTTTATTTAAAGGTCAGCATTTAATATTAGAAAATGTTTACTTTCAAACAACATAAGTATAAATTTGAGTACAAAAAATATTTAAAAATATTCTGATTCAAAAGATATCTTCAATTGTTTTTTTTTTTTTTGCTTTTTTATCAATAACTTAAAATTTTAGTTTTTTTTTCCTCAAGAGAAGTAAATGATATAAAAAACTTGTTAAAAAAAACAAAAAACTTGTTAAAAAAAACAAAAGACTTGTTAAAAAAAAACAATAAACTTGTTAAAAAAAAACAAAAAACTTGTTTAAAAAAACAAAAGACGTGTTAAACAAAACAAAAGACTTGTTAAACAAAATAAAAGACTTGTTAAATAAAACAAAACACTTGTTAAATGAAACATAAGCCTTGTTAAAGAATAAAAGAACAATTCAACAAATAAAACAATATACAATGCAACAAAACCTTTATTGTTTTGTTTACTTATTCATTATTTTCCTTTTTTTATAGATACTTGATAGGATACGCTGATTCATTTCGACATTTTGAAAATGGTCAATATGTAAAAAGATTGTTTCATGTTAAAGGCAAACGAAATATTAGAATTGAACAGGTTTTTAAAACAAAAAATTTTTAACAATTTTTCTCCTTTAATAAACCAAATTTAAAAAAAATTGAAGAAAAGTTAACATTTTAGTTTGTATTTCTCTAGGTACCTTGTTCATACCATTCAATGAGTGATGGAAACACATTTATTTTGGATGATGAATGGATGATTTACTGTTGGAATGGAAGAGAAAGCAATAAAATTGAAAAAATAAGGGTAGGTTTGTTTTGTACATAAATGTTTGAATCTGAAAAAGCACCTGATTGAAGCAATATGATTAAAATAGACAATCAAATGATTTAAGTTAGTCGTGTGTGTATATGTATGTATGTATGTATGTATGTATATATGTATGTATGTATGTATGTATGTATGTATGTATGTATGTATATATGTATGTATTTATACATAAACTGCATAATACACAAAAGATGTAACTATACTTTATATTTATACATAGTCATTGCAAACAGCTCAAATGATAAGAGATCAATTCTGCTATGGCAAAGCAAAGATAATTATTGCAGGTATTTGCAAACCTTTTAACAAAACAATATAACTATTTGTAATATAAAACCAATTCTGATTTACTTTAAAAAAATCAATTAACATACTTTTACTTTTCCAACTTAATACAATAATATCAATAGTATATTTAAAAGTAATATAATTTATATTATCAAATTATCCCCCAACACTGGTCTTTATAGATGCAGGAATCGACGAAAAAGAAGAAATTCAATTTTTCGAAGCGCTTGGTGAAAAAGGTCCTATTAAACCTAAAACACAAAAAAATGAACAAAAAGTTGATTCTCATCCAAAACTTTATAGGTAAATTTTATATTGTATATAATAAACTTTTTATTTTATAAAACAAGCTTCAAAATATAAACTTATAAATATCTAATTTTTATAAACTTAAATTAAGAGATATTTAACTTTAATTGTAAAATACAAATGAACAAAAAGGTTTAAAATAAATTTTATATATATATAGTGTTTTTGTTTTACTCAAATAAATTTTTGAAAGCGCTAGGCGTTGCCACATTGACTATCTTATAGCCTGCTGCTATAAGGAAATGCTGCTACATTGACTGAAGGTTTGGTTTGGGCAATCAATCTACCATTTAAAAAAAACTTATTTAAGTTTTTAAATTTTTTCTGGACTGGTTTATTAGCACCTAAAACTACAGTTTATGAAAGAAACTTTTTGACTACCGTGCAAGACTATATCTATCTATCTATCTATCTCTTTTTTTCTTTCTCTCTCTCTCTCTCTCTCTCTCTCTCTCTCTCTCTCTATATATATATATATATATATATATATATATATATATATATATATATATATATATATATATATATATATATATATATATATATATGTATATATATATATATATATATATATATATATATATATATATATATATATATATATATATATATATATATATATATATATATATATATATATATATATATATATATATATATATATATATATATATATATATATATATATATATATATATATATATATATATATATATATATATATATATATATATATATATATATATATAGAGAGAGAGAGAGAGAGAGAGAGAGATTTTAAAGCAAAATTTATTGAACATATTAATATAATTTATAATCTGTAAACTTAGAGTATTAAAAGTATAATCATATTGTGATAGGATTTTTTTATAATGTATATTTACTATGATACAACAAATTAATATACTTTTATTAAATATTCAAAAACTATTTGTTTAAATATCTTCATTTATGAAAATACTAATATTTAAAAAAATATATAATTTTTGTTATTAAAAATTGTTTTGAAATAATTTTTCTCTTTTAGAATCACCAAGAAGCCATCAGACATAACAACAATACCACTTCACCACAGCTTACTAAATTCTGCAGTTTGTTATTTATCATTTTTGTATAACTAAATATTTTAATAAAAAAATAAATATTTAGTTTTATATATTTTGCAGTAAAACTATTCAACAATAGAGTTTAGTTTTAAACTTTTATATTTAGGATTGCTACATATTAGATTTAGATAGCTTTGGATTGTTTGGATGGATTGGAGCAACAGCAAAGCAAAAAATTACAGCCTATGTTTTTGTATTTAAACTTTTTTCATTTTATAAAAAAACTTTTACCAGTGGTTGTTTGTGCGTGCGTGTGTGTGTATATATATATATATATATATATATATATATATATATATATATATATATATATATATATATATATATATATATACACACACATATTCTGTTTGAAAATATGTCTGAATTAAAGTTAAAATTTTAAAATAAAAGTAAACATAATATTAGTAACAACACCAGAGTTTCTTTGAGAAAACTGTTTTTTAAATTTAACTATCAGGATTTACCTAGTTTAGCTAAGCCCAAACCTAAGAAGGGGTTCAAAATAATATTTATATGAATAAATATATTTTAGCATATGACTTGGTAACAATGGTTTGTTAACAAAAAAAAAAAAAACAATAAAAAGCTGCAACTTTATTTTTTCAAAATGAAAATTTATATGTTCAAATGTTATTATATGTAAAGGTTAAATAAAAAAAGCAAAAAAAAAAAAAAATTTTTTTATGTTTTTGTTTTTGTTTTTAAAATTTTATTTTTTACTTTTTATAAAGTTTAAATTTTTAATACAAAATTTAATAGAAAAATTATAAAAAACCTACTGATAAACGGTTTCAAAATTACTAAGCTTAAAGAGAGAGAAGTAGATAATGATAAGTAGGTTTAATAAACCAAATCACATGATATAATGCATTATTAGCATGCATTAAACTAATTAGCTGGATTATATTAATATTGGAGATTATGACTAAAGTTTAGCCGTTTAAACATTGTATTTTTAATCCACAATAATACAGGCAATTTTTTTTTACAGAATTTTGCAAAAGAAAACAATTACCCAAAAAATACAAGAATTCACATTATGCACGAAGGCAATGAACTGAAACAGTTTACAGATTTTTTTCTAGGATGGAGATATAGAACCAATCAACAAATTTCAGAAAGAATAGGTTTACAACAATTATATTGCTTACACCAAATAAAAATATAGAATGCTTTGAAGACAAAAAAAAAAAGTTTTTATTTGCTGTTAAACAATTAATTATAAGAACATCCAACTGCAATTAAAAAAAGAAAATAATTAGAAAAGATTTTAAGAAGTTATCAAATATTTAATGTTTTACTTCACAGGTAATGATTTAGTCAATGATCATATTAATAGCATGGTTGATGACGCATCTGGACCAATCAAGGTAATTTAAATCTATTATATATTATCTACAATTTTTATTATTTAATTTTAGGGCATAAAAATAACAACAAAAGATCATAATGAATCTAAT